CCTTCCGCCGCGAGTACTTCCCCTTCGAGCTGGTACGCACCTTCGCCGAGTTCGACGCGAAAGTAACCACCCTCGATTGGAGCCCGGACTCCAAGTACCTCATCGTCGGGTCCAAGGATTTAACCGCGAGAATCTTGTGCTTGAAGAAATTGAATAGTGGTGGAAAGAAAAAACCCTTTTTGCTCCTAGGGCACAGGGATTCGGTTGTAGGTTCGTTCTTCGGTGTCAATTCGAAAACTAGTAGAGTTTGTAAGGCTTATACGATTACTAGGGATTGTTACTTATTTAGCTGGGGTTTTACTTCTGATAGTGGTGGTGAGGCTGAGGGTTCGGAGCCGCCCTCGCCAGGGACGCCGGAGAGGGACGCGGAAAGGAATTTGGAGGTTGTTGAGAATGATGGTGTGAAGAAGAGGAAGAAAATTGATGTTGAGGATGGTGATGAGGGTTACCTGAGTAAGGGAAAGTGGGAGTTATTGAGGAAGGATGGGTTTATGCAGGGATGGGCAAAAGTGACAGCATGTGATTATCATAGGGGGCTAGATATGGTGTTTGTTGGATTTTCTAATGGTGTGTTTGGGTTGTATCAGATGCCAGATTTTGTGTGCATTCATTTGCTATCTATTTCAAGGGAGAAAATTACCACCGCTGTGTTTAACGAGCTTGGGAACTGGCTGACATTTGGCTGCGCCAAATTGGGGCAGCTGCTGGTGTGGGAGTGGCGTTCTGAGAGCTACATTTTGAAGCAGCAGGGTCATTACTTTGATGTTAACTGCGTTGCCTATTCGGCAGACTCGCAGCTCCTTGCCACCGGAGCAGATGATAATAAAGTGAAGGTGATTGAATTTCACTTGTGGTTGGTGGGGTTTTGAAATTGGATCCAGTTTTAACTGATTTCTTTGTTTTGTGCCTTTTGTATTGTGTGTTGCGCTGGTTTTAAATTGAATGTTTGAATTGAACTGAAGTGAAAGCTCTGTTGTTGTTTTTACAGGTGTGGACACTTTCGTCAGGATTTTGCTTTGTTACATTTTCGGAGCACACTAATTCTGTTACGGCTTTACATTTTATGGCAAGTAACAATTGCCTTCTTAGTGCATCTCTTGACGGGACCATTCGTGCATGGGATTTATTACGCTACCGGAATTTTAGGACCTTTACAACCCCTTCTTCTAGACAGTTTGTTTCCTTGACAGCTGATCAAAGTGGTGAAGTGATATGTGCAGGCACTTCAGATTCCTTTGAGGTATAGTTTTGTACAAATTAGGTTGATTCTAACTATTTCATTATTATTTTACCATTCACCCTTTTTGCTCAATCATGTGTAACAGATTTTTGTTTGGTCAATGAGAACGGGACGCTTGCTGGATGTGCTTAGTGGTCACGAAGCTCCTGTTCATGGGCTGGTCTTTTCTCCTACAAATGTTAGTTATATTTTCTTCTGCTGATATTTGCTTGCATAAGTTTATTTCTTATCTTGTGTAGTATTTTTAACCGGTTCCAAGTTTCCTCTTTGGTAGAAATTTATGTCAACTCATGTTTCATGTTCTCAGTTTATAAAATAATATTATCTTCTAAGCATGTAGGACATCATCAAACATCAATAATTTTATTGTTTCTTGAGATATATGACGAAAGGAAGTACTAAAGTTTGTTTTTTATTTTATGTTTTACATCTATAATAACAAAAAACCTTAGCATCATCTCTTTTCGCTTTGTACAGGCTGTCTTGGCTTCATCATCATATGATAAATCTGTTCGGCTGTGGGATGTCTTTGATGGAAAAGGAGCAGTTGAAACATTTCCTCACACTCATGATGTTCTTACAGTAGTGTATCGTCCAGATGGAAGGCAGTTAGCTTGCAGCACATTAGATGGGCAAATTCATTTTTGGGACCCAGTAGATGGTTTGTTGATGTACACTATAGAAGGTTCTAGAGATATTGCTGGTGGGCGTCTTATGACTGACTGTAGGTCCGCAGCTAACTCAACTTCAGGGAAGTTCTTTACAACTTTGTGTTATTCAGCTGATGGAAGCTACATATTAGCTGGGGGAAGTAGCAGATACATCTGCATGTATGATGTTGCAGATCAGGTTGGTCTACATGCACTTTGGTTGATTTTTCATATATATGTAAAAGTCACAGCAGTGGTTGTAAACATTTTATCCTCTAGGAAGCTTCTATATTGATTTACTGTACATGTTAATGTCATGCATACTCTCGATGTGTTTTTACTCTTCAGTTTTGTCCAACTCATTAAGGGTTAAACAGGTATGTTTTGCATGTAGGGCAATTAGATAATTCATAAACTACAAAAAACATGAAATATTTTACTAACTTTTGTATTATAATGATACAAACCTACTCAGTAATAACGTTATGTTAACGCAACCTTCTATATCATAACTTTTTGTCTAAATATCAAAGCTTAAATACTGTATGGGGTCCATGTCGGGTCCATGTCTACTGTTGCCCTTTAGTAAATATGGATCGGTTAAAAATTGAAGAGGCGTATCATTTTATACTTTCCTTATCGAGCATAGCTTTCTGTTGATGTAGTGTAGTTGCTTCTGAATGTTGTTTTTGAGCCTCATCGAACCTAGTTAAATGATACAGAACTGAAAGGCTGATGAGCTCAATAAGTTCTTGTAGAGAAAGGATGTTCAGTTCACAAGTTTGATCCATTCTTGTGATATTTAGTAAAATAAATCCTTGTGATACCTCCGTCCCTCCTCTTAGAGCTGTAACCAGGCATTTCCATTACAATATGATTTGTTTGAAGGTTTATTTTCACCAGTAACCTAGTTTTCATAAGGGGTTTTTATTATTGAACCAATTCAGTTTCACTAGGTTTCAATCCTAGGGTTACTTCTTTCCAGGATCCAGTCATCCATAAAATCTATAAGTGCCGTGTAATTTGTAAGGTGCTTATTCCATGGATCAATTTTGTCCCGTATTCTCTCCTTTTTTTTCTCCTTTTTTTTATATCCTGAATGATGAGGAACTTCATTTGGTCACTAGGATAGTTGAAAAAAAAGATTATCTTGATGGTTGAGAGATTTCACCTTAAGGGCGTATATCTGGTTGTAAAGTGTCCCTCCCTTTCATGGGTACCTTACCTCATAATCTTTTACCGAACTCCCTCAATTTAATTTACGTTTTACCTAGGTTTATCAGTAGGAAAATTTGTTTCTCTTGAAGAGGCAGAAACCATCTATCTTAAGCAAAGGTTGATGAAAGTTTTTTGTTTCTGTTAAGAAGTGGACTTTAAGCCTAACTCAACCCCACAAACCGGCTTGTAAGGTGAGGTTTGCACTCACTTATATATTATAAATTGACCTTATCTCTAGTCGATGTGTGACTTTCAACACACCCCTTCATGCCGAGGTATAGATATCATCTCGAGCGTGAGACTAGACATTGATGAGTGGTCCGATAGCAGGTGGAACAACATGCCTAACAAACAACAGGTATCTCTAGGATAGGCTCTAACCATAGTTCTTATACCATGTTAAGAGGTGAACTTTAAGCCTAAATCAACTCTACAAAACCGGTTTGTAAGGTAAGGTTTGCATTCACTTATATATTATAAATTGACCTTATCTCTAGTTGATGTGGGACTTCTATTAGTTTTTATTCTCTGAAATCTATTTTTACTTAGAAGGTGTTATATTGAATGTCAATGCATTTGATGGTTAAAATATGTTACTCTTGAAGTCTTCTCTCAGCTGTGCCTGAGTGGTCTTATTGTTTGCATCCCTTGCCCGTGTGTGTAGTGTAAATAAGGACGGGGTGTTCAAAGTGGATGCAGATTTAAAATGAACTATGTTATCTACTTCTGCTCATATTGTAGTACAGTTCTGTTCATTAATTGAAATCTCTTTGTTCAGGTTTTACTTCGACGTTTCCAGATAACTCACAATCTCTCATTAGATGGAGTGCTTGACATTTTAAACTCAAAAAATATGACAGATGCTGGCCCTCTGGATTTGATTGATGATGACAACAGTGACATTGAAGAAGGCATTGAGAAACAAACTCGAGGGAAACTAGGATTTAACTTGCCAGGATCTTTGCCTAACCGTGGAAGGCCTATTATTCAGACAAAGTGCCTGAGGATTGCACCTACAGGGCGTAGTTTTGTTGCAGCAACAACTGAGGGAGTTTTGGTTTATTCTGTTGATGAATCATTCATATTTGATCCAACTGACCTTGACATAAATGTTACACCAGAGGTAATTTAACTTTTTGAAAGAACTACCACTGTTTATTTCAAAGAATATATAAGAATATTCTAGAACTTTTTTCTGTTGTAAGAAATAAGTTGGAGAACACCTACTCTGGTAACTTCTTGTCATCCAATAATTTGTGTTTTGAGTCGTTATGATGGTACTTGACATATACTTGCATGAAAAGGACGCAATTTTCTTCTTGAAAGTGCGGATTTTTTCACATCATTGTTTTTTTTTATTCATGACAGTAAGCATAAAATTCAAGAAAAGTATGATTTCGTTTCTCAGCAATTTATTAAAAATGGTAAAAATTTCCGTCAGATATAAATGAAGATAACTAAGTCCTAGATCCGTCTTTTCATTTTAATCATGAAAACAAGGAATCAAAATCAACATTGAAAATAATGCAGCATATATAAATTTAATAGCACTCCATCTAGCTGTATATGATGTTCTTCCTTCACTGCACTGTTTTGATGTCGTTAATAACTTGAGCTGGCATTTTGGAACAGGCTGTTGAAGAAGCTCTTCGTGAAAATCAACCAAGTAAAGCCTTGATCCTTAGCCTTCGCTTGAATGAGGATTCCTTCATTAAAAAATGTATATTTGCGGTTAGTCCAGCAGATATTCCTGCAGTTGCCACGTCAATCCCTTACAAATATCTCCAACGATTAGTGGAGGCACTTGCAGATCTCTTAGAAAACTGCCCACATTTGGAATTTATACTTAGATGGTGTCAGGTATTCTTTACTTGCTTAGATTTAGTCTTATTCATAAGTTTGCTGCTCAAGGTGATGGCAGTTCTATAAAATCATTTTATCTTTGGTATGATTTGACAGGAGCTCTGCAAGGCCCATGGGAATTCTATTCAGCAGAACTCTCGCAATCTGTTACCATCATTAAAATCTTTGCAGAAAGCAATCACTAAAATTCATCAGGATCTATCAGATACATGTTCCTCCAACGAATATATGCTGCGGTATTTATGCTCTTCTGGTGCCAAAAAATGAATTTTAAGAATTCACGCGTTGGATTTTAGCAGCTTTGCTCAAGAATCCCTTTCCAACCTCGGTATTATTTAAATCTGGTATCTGATGAACATCATTAGCAAGTAGCAACTAGCAAGCAACCTCTGAAGAATCCAGCAGGATTTTGATGTAATTTCCAATTGAATGAAGTTTCAATTTCTTGAAGGTGTGGCCTCCGTGAGGTGTGTTTCACGGTCTACTGGCAATTTAACCAAGACATCTCTTGAGAGGCATTTCTTTGTAATGTGGTGGTTAACAGATTGCAGAGGTTGAGGTTCCTGCTTGATATACGCAGCAATGTGTTTGGAATCAACTATTTTAGAATTAATTAATAGAAAATGTTAGAAAATTTTGGTCAGAAATTTTGCCCCGATGATAGCAACCACCTTGGGTGGTATCAAATGTGGAATTTTTTATTGGTGTCTTGTACCATTGTTATTGGCTGTTTATAAGTGAAATTAATTGTTGGCAACGTTCTCAATTTCTAGGAACCTTCGAGTTTTTCTGTTCCAGGAATATCTTTGATGAATGTTCAGTTTTAGAATTTAGTATTGGACAATAATATGTTAATATAGATTTTTTAACATATTGACATAGTATACGTATTATCTGTTTCTTTGGTTTAAAGTATATTAGTATAATAATAAATAAATAATGGATTAATAAGAAAATGACAAGTGTATTATATAAAAATATTATGAAAAAGTCCAACCTTAACAACTAAAAATTATACTATATTATTTTGTAGCTAGAACCAACCTTAACTAAAATTGTCTCTTACGTTTAATTTGTCAATATTTAAAACATGTTTAAATGAAATCACGTTTTATATTTCAAAATACACACACATATAGTTTATCAGATTAATTATATTTTTAGTCTCTAAATTATAATACAATTCTAGATTTTATCTTTATTTTAAATTTTGATTCATATTTTATAAATACATTAACGTAGTTATTATCATCTAATAATATTAACTGTTTTTAAGTGTTACAAATGATAAATCATGAATACAGTTGGATGATGAGAATTGTATTTATATATTTTTTTAAGTATGAAAACATAACAATAAAAGTTAAGATAATTACAAAAATCAAAATCTCATAACGTAAAACCCTAATTCCTCTTTATTTAAATTTCAATAACTTTTCATTCATCAATTCACTCTTTCGAACATTAGATGTTCCTTTCAAATATCTCAATAGGGTAATATTCGCATCAGACCGCTGCCCATAATCATGGAAGCTCAACTCTTTCTGAAATCACAGCACCATAATTTTCAAGTATTTCTTACACCAGTCTAAATTAAAAGTGATTCTTAAACTAGTCTAAATTAAAAGTGAGTTTATTCTAAATTAAAACTAAACTTGCAAATTACTTTAATGTTCTTGGAGTGTCGCTTTTTACCTTCATAAACTTTTCGTTCAAAGTAAATTTTGATCAAATCTAAATTAAATATAAAAGTAAACTATTAAAATAGTATTTATAAATATACTACATTGACCATAAATTCCATTTAAGTGAGTTATGTTTATGAGTCTATTAGCCTAATAATCAAATTATCTATGAGATTAGACTCATTTTTGGCTATGTGACGTCGGAATTGTTGTTGGAATGTCTTCAACAAGCATCGCACGAGAATATGTTGATAGGCGATATCCTATCCGATTAATGCTACTAGCAGAGTATATACAAACTCTGGTTTATCCAATATCTGATCAAGTTGTCTGTCATAAAGTATTTAAAGATTATTTTATTGGTTGTAGGTTGTTAATTCTAGATATATGATAATAATACAATGTTGTGTGTGACATCCCAAAAATATAACACATCATTGTATAAAGGTGTCCACATTTAATAATATGATAGAACAGTTACTATAATACAAAGTTATTACAAAATAACCATTAAATTTTTCGTTTAACTTTGCAAGAGCTTCCTATACTACTACTGAACGTTCAACATATAACCGTACGGTTATTTTTACAGAACAAAAACTATATATACTATACGACCGAACGGTCATCAACTATTCAGTAGGAGTCTCACCACCCAGCTCCTGCTCCAGTGTAAGCCCTTCCCCTTCTTCCCACATCCAACAATAATGATCATTGCAATAGAAAACCGAACGGTAACATGGATAAAACAGAAAACAAGGGTAAGCTATAATAATTCAATTAAGCATGTATTCACACATGTAATAAACTACAAGCCCTTACAGAACGAACGCTATAACATACAGGAGCCAATATAGATATCACACATAACTGAAATATAAAAATACTATACAACCGACACTTGACTTGACCATCCGGATTGTATGAATACGTAGCTTGAGGCCGTTCATGCACTCGGGTGATGTAGTAACTGGAAAACCATCAGCTGCCACCCGAGGTTAGTCCGTTATAACTCACCCAAGAACCTATAGGCTAGGTAGGACCTCCTGCCATTCTCACACAATGACTTATCCATTTCTACTTGAGAATTGGTAATCATCAGAATATCAGGATGAACTCCATGAATTTCACTATCCATATTCATACTTTACCACCACAGTAACCTTTCACTGAGACATTCCTCCCGGGAATTCTCTTCCACATTACTTAAAAACATACACATATACTTGAATACCCATAATGTTTCTCATTCATAATGAATCTTTACTATAATAAACAACCAACACCAATCCATAACATCAACATAACAAGATCAGACAACATTTCATATAAAAAGACCGAACACTCACATAATACTACTTTCAAATACAACTGGACAGGAAAGATCAATACAACAGACAAAATAACCGATCGTTCATGTAATCGTGAGGACTTTGACATGAACCAAGCCCATTTTTAAGAATACACACTATAATCAAATCAAATTCTTAACTTAAGGCTGAACTATATTTAACTCTTCTTGCCACTAGAACGAACGATATTCCACTATCTGACAAAACCGAACGCTTAAAGTTTATACTGAGCACTTATAACTACTGACACTTGGTGTAAGACCGAACGTTACTTCCTTATTTGACAAAGCCGAACGCCTAAAGCTTATACCGAACACTATGATTACTCCTATAAACTATTCAATAAACCTAATATTTTTAAGGAAACCGAACGTTAAGATATTTTAGCTTAAATATAAATAAACTTATACACTATCATAAAGGAACATATCTTAAGCTTATTACTAGTACAAAGTTTACTAATAATAATATATGAACTATCACAAACCCAATTTACCTAATTCAATAAGACTGATTAAAACTGTATATAACCATCAACACTTGATATATTAATCACTTCCTATAAAACGAACGACTACAAACTGGTAAGGCCAAAATGCTAACTCTATTGATAGTTTATTCACTAACCATAACCGAACACCCAACTATTCTACGTAATTTTGCAGAATCCTTATCGACTTATACAGAACCACCAAAATCCAGAAAGCATACAAGTCATACGCTCATATACAAATCATCAATCCATTCATTCCATACATACACAAAATCAACACATGCATAATTAAATTTAATAGCTTCCCTTACCTCTTAACAGACCGCTCGCTCACAAGATGAAATTTGCACCACGACCAGACACTTAACCTCCCAGATTTACTATTTTTAGGAAAACAAACCACCCAAAAAACCAGAACCGTGATCAGAACCTTAGAAGAAGAAGAAAATAAACACAAGCAACAGAAACTTGGTTTGCATGTGCCCCAAACTAAACTTTATTAAAATTAGAAAGACCTACCAGTTCAAAACATTAAACGTTCGGTTGAAAGTAGGATCCTTGCCACCAGCAACCTTACATACACTCTGATGGATAATTAGATGGAAGAAAACGTGAGATTCAATGGAAGAAAAACTGATAATTTTAGAGAGAAGTTTGAGAGAAGGAGGAGAAACTAGTTCAGAAGATTTAAAGGAGAAGATCGCATGCAGAGAGTGGAACCAATTTTTGAAATTTTAGCTTATATACTCTTTCAGAAAAAACCGATCGTCTATTCTTCTGCCGCCACCTGTCTTCCACTTCTTGAGACTCGTTCTCCTCTTACATACACCTGTTTCCCGATAGGGAATTTAATGATTATGAGATCGTGATCTTAAATAACTAAATTAAAGATTATAATTAACAAGGCCGAAAGAATCTTCAATTATATACCGTAAATTTAAAAAACATAGATTGAGGTAAGACTGATAGATGCGAAAGTCAAAATCCAAAAAATTATTTCCTAAAATCTTCATAATGAATTTGAACAAATATTTAACTTAAGAAGTTGACACATTTGGACCTATACAAATCAATGTTATATATATATATATATCTCAGCACTGAATTTCGTTTGATTTTTTTAAAAAGAAAAATATTTAATTAAAAAGTAAAAAATAAAAAACATTTTAATTTTAATAAAATAATAATAGATTTTTCTAACAAACTTTCATCTCAGCGATTTCAATAAAATTCAGCTTTTTCAACAAAATTTCTTTGGATTTTCTAAAATATCAGGAGAGATTTTATAACAATACAAGATTTTCCTCATACGACAATAATTGGAAGAGACTACACTACACTCTCCTGTTCTATGCTGGCGTCTCTCGTAGATCCCACACCTTATGAATGTGAATTAAAACGCGTGGTGAATGTTTATATATGCATATCTGGATTTTCGTTGTAATAAACAATAATATATGATGATAAATTACTTCACTATTTTCTGATTTTAATACGAATATATCTCACGATATATATATAGTATACAATGCCTAAAATCTTATTTAGTATTACATAAAAGTAAAGTATATAAACATTAGTAAACTTTTTTATTAATGAATAAACAAATTAAGATGTTTGTTAGCTTTTGTAAAATCATATTAAATTGTGTTTTAAAGCATTTTAAAATATTTTCCCAAATATTGATCAATGTGNCCGTGGAAGGCCTATTATTCAGACAAAGTGCCTGAGGATTGCACCTACAGGGCGTAGTTTTGTTGCAGCAACAACTGAGGGAGTTTTGGTTTATTCTGTTGATGAATCATTCATATTTGATCCAACTGACCTTGACATAAATGTTACACCAGAGGTAATTTAACTTTTTGAAAGAACTACCACTGTTTATTTCAAAGAATATATAAGAATATTCTAGAACTTTTTTCTGTTGTAAGAAATAAGTTGGAGAACACCTACTCTGGTAACTTCTTGTCATCCAATAATTTGTGTTTTGAGTCGTTATGATGGTACTTGACATATACTTGCATGAAAAGGACGCAATTTTCTTCTTGAAAGTGCGGATTTTTTCACATCATTGTTTTTTTTTATTCATGACAGTAAGCATAAAATTCAAGAAAAGTATGATTTCGTTTCTCAGCAATTTATTAAAAATGGTAAAAATTTCCGTCAGATATAAATGAAGATAACTAAGTCCTAGATCCGTCTTTTCATTTTAATCATGAAAACAAGGAATCAAAATCAACATTGAAAATAATGCAGCATATATAAATTTAATAGCACTCCATCTAGCTGTATATGATGTTCTTCCTTCACTGCACTGTTTTGATGTCGTTAATAACTTGAGCTGGCATTTTGGAACAGGCTGTTGAAGAAGCTCTTCGTGAAAATCAACCAAGTAAAGCCTTGATCCTTAGCCTTCGCTTGAATGAGGATTCCTTCATTAAAAAATGTATATTTGCGGTTAGTCCAGCAGATATTCCTGCAGTTGCCACGTCAATCCCTTACAAATATCTCCAACGATTAGTGGAGGCACTTGCAGATCTCTTAGAAAACTGCCCACATTTGGAATTTATACTTAGATGGTGTCAGGTATTCTTTACTTGCTTAGATTTAGTCTTATTCATAAGTTTGCTGCTCAAGGTGATGGCAGTTCTATAAAATCATTTTATCTTTGGTATGATTTGACAGGAGCTCTGCAAGGCCCATGGGAATTCTATTCAGCAGAACTCTCGCAATCTGTTACCATCATTAAAATCTTTGCAGAAAGCAATCACTAAAATTCATCAGGATCTATCAGATACATGTTCCTCCAACGAATATATGCTGCGGTATTTATGCTCTTCTGGTGCCAAAAAATGAATTTTAAGAATTCACGCGTTGGATTTTAGCAGCTTTGCTCAAGAATCCCTTTCCAACCTCGGTATTATTTAAATCTGGTATCTGATGAACATCATTAGCAAGTAGCAACTAGCAAGCAACCTCTGAAGAATCCAGCAGGATTTTGATGTAATTTCCAATTGAATGAAGTTTCAATTTCTTGAAGGTGTGGCCTCCGTGAGGTGTGTTTCACGGTCTACTGGCAATTTAACCAAGACATCTCTTGAGAGGCATTTCTTTGTAATGTGGTGGTTAACAGATTGCAGAGGTTGAGGTTCCTGCTTGATATACGCAGCAATGTGTTTGGAATCAACTATTTTAGAATTAATTAATAGAAAATGTTAGAAAATTTTGGTCAGAAATTTTGCCCCGATGATAGCAACCACCTTGGGTGGTATCAAATGTGGAATTTTTTATTGGTGTCTTGTACCATTGTTATTGGCTGTTTATAAGTGAAATTAATTGTTGGCAACGTTCTCAATTTCTAGGAACCTTCGAGTTTTTCTGTTCCAGGAATATCTTTGATGAATGTTCAGTTTTAGAATTTAGTATTGGACAATAATATGTTAATATAGATTTTTTAACATATTGACATAGTATACGTATTATCTGTTTCTTTGGTTTAAAGTATATTAGTATAATAATAAATAAATAATGGATTAATAAGAAAATGACAAGTGTATTATATAAAAATATTATGAAAAAGTCCAACCTTAACAACTAAAAATTATACTATATTATTTTGTAGCTAGAACCAACCTTAACTAAAATTGTCTCTTACGTTTAAATTGTCAATATTTAAAACATGTTTAAATGAAATCACGTTTTATATTTCAAAATACACACACATATAGTTTAACAGATTAATTATATTTTTAGTCTCTAAATTATAATACAATTCTAGATTTTATCTTTATTTTAAATTTTGATTCATATTTTATAAATACATTAACGTAGTTATTATCATCTAATAATATTAACTGTTTTTAAGTGTTACAAATGATAAATCATGAATACAGTTGGATGATGAGAATTGTATTTATATATTTTTTTAAGTATGAAAACATAACAATAAAAGTTAAGATAATTACAAAAATCAAAATCTCATAACGTAAAACCCTAATTCCTCTTTATTTAAATTTCAATAACTTTTCATTCATCAATTCACTCTTTCGAACATTAGATGTTCCTTTCAAATATCTCAATAGGGTAATATTCGCATCAGACCGCTGCCCATAATCATGGAAGCTCAACTCTTTCTGAAATCACAGCACCATAATTTTCAAGTATTTCTTACACCAGTCTAAATTAAAAGTGATTCTTAAACTAGTCTAAATTAAAAGTGAGTTTATTCTAAATTAAAACTAAACTTGCAAATTACTTTAATGTTCTTGGAGTGTCGCTTTTTACCTTCATAAACTTTTCGTTCAAAGTAAATTTTGATCAAATCTAAATTAAATATAAAAGTAAACTATTAAAATAGTATTTATAAATATACTACATTGACCATAAATTCCATTTAAGTGAGTTATGTTTATGAGTCTATTAGCCTAATAATCAAATTATCTATGAGATTAGACTCATTTTTGGCTATGTGACGTCGGAATTGTTGTTGGAATGTCTTCAACAAGCATCGCACGAGAATATGTTGATAGGCGATATCCTATCCGATTAATGCTACTAGCAGAGTATATACAAACTCTGGTTTATCCAATATCTGATCAAGTTGTCTGTCATAAAGTATTTAAAGATTATTTTATTGGTTGTAGGTTGTTAATTCTAGATATATGATAATAATACAATGTTGTGTGTGACATCCCAAAAATATAACACATCATTGTATAAAGGTGTCCACATTTAATAATATGATAGAACAGTTACTATAATACAAAGTTATTACAAAATAACCATTAAATTTTTCGTTTAACTTTGCAAGAGCTTCCTATACTACTACTGAACGTTCAACATATAACCGGACGGTTATTTTTACAGAACAAAAACTATATATACTATACGACCGAACGGTCATCAACTATTCAGTAGGAGTCTCACCACCCAGCTCCTGCTCCAGTGTAAGCCCTTCCCCTTCTGCCCACATCCAACAATAATGATCATTGCAATAGAAAACCGAACGGTAACATGGATAAAACAGAAAACAAGGGTAAGCTATAATAATTCAATTAAGCATGTATTCACACATGTAATAAACTACAAGCCCTTACAGAACGAACGCTATAACATACAGGAGCCAATATAGATATCACACATAACTGAAATATAAAAATACTATACAACCGACACTTGACTTGACCATCCGGATTGTATGAATACGTAGCTTGAGGCCGTTCATGCACTCGGGTGATGTAGTAACTGGAAAACCATCAGCTGCCACCCGAGGTTAGTCCGTTATAACTCACCCAATTACCTATGGGTTAGGACCTCATGCCATTCTCACACAATGACTTATCCATTTCTACTTGAGAATTGGTAATCATCAGAATATCAGGATGAACTCCATGAATTTCACTATCCATATTCATACTTTACCACCACAGTAACCTTTCACTGAGACATTCCTCCCGGGAATTCTCTTCCACATTACTTAAAAACATACACATATACTTGAATACCCATAATGTTTCTCATTCATAATGAATCTTTACTATAATAAACAACCAACACCAATCCATAACATCAACATAACAAGATCAGACAACATTTCATATAAAAAGACCGAACACTCACATAATACTACTTTCAAATACAACTGGACAGGAAAGATCAATACAACAGACAAAATAACCGATCGTTCATGTAATCGTGAGGACTTTGACATGAACCAAGCCCATTTTTAAGAATACACACTCTAATCAAATCAAATTCTTAACTTAAGGCTGAACTATATTTAACTCTTCTCGCCACTAGAACGAACGATATTCCACTATCTGACAAAACCGAACGCTTAAAGTTTATACTGAGCACTTATAACTACTGACACTTGGTGTAAGACCGAACGTTACTTCCTTATTTGACAAAGCCGAACGCCTAAAGCTTATACCGAACACTATGATTACTCCTATAAACTATTCAATAAACCTAATATTTTTAAGGAAACCGAACGTTAAGATATTTTAGCTAAAATATAAATAAACTTATACACTATCATAAAGGAACATATCTTAAGCCTATTACTAGTACAAAGTTTACTAATAATAATATATGAACTATCACAAACCCAATTTACCTAATTCAATAAGACTGATTAAAACTGTATATAACCATCAACACTTGATATATTAATCACTTCCTATAAAACGAACGACTACAAACTGGTAAGGCCAAAATGCTAACTCTATTGATAGTTTATTCACTAACCATAACCGAACACCCAACTATTCTACGTAATTTTGCAGAATCCTTATCGACTTATACAGAACCACCAAAATCCAGAAAGCATACAAGTCATACGCTCATATACAAATCATCAATCCATTCATTCCATACATACACAAAATCAACACATGCATAATTAAATTTAATAGCTTCCCTTACCTCTTAACAGACCGCTCGCTCACAAGATGAAATTTGCACCACGACCAGACACTTAACCTCCCAGATTTACTATTTTTAGGAAAACAAACCACCCAAAAAACCAGAACCGTGATCAGAACCTTAGAAGAAGAAGAAAATAAACACAAGCAACAGAAACTTGGTTTGCATGTGCCCCAAACTAAACTTTATTAAAATTAGAAAGACCTACCAGTTCAAAACATTAAACGTTCGGTTGAAAGTAGGATCCTTGCCACCAGCAACCTTACATACACTCTGATGGATAATTAGATGGAAGAAAACGTGAGATTCAATGGAAGAAAAACTGATAATTTTAGAGAGAAGTTTGAGAGAAGGAGGAGAAACTAGTTCAGAAGATTTAAAGGAGAAGATCGCATGCAGAGAGTGGAACCAATTTTTGAAATTTTAGCTTATATACTCTTTCAGAAAAAACCGATCGTCTATTCTTCTGCCGCCACCTGTCTTCCACTTCTTGAGACTCGTTCTCCTCTTACATACACCTGTTTCCCGATAGGGAATTTAATGATTATGAGATCGTGATCTTAAATAACTAAATTAAAGATTATAATTAACAAGGCCGAAAGAATCTTCAATTATATACCGTAAATTTAAAAAACATAGATTGAGGTAAGACTGATAGATGCGAAAGTCAAAATCCAAAAAATTATTTCCTAAAATCTTCATAATGAATTTGAACAAATATTTAACTTAAGAAGTTGACACATTTGGACCTATACAAATCAATGTTATATATATATATATATCTCAGCACTGAATTTCGTTTGATTTTTTTAAAAAGAAAAATATTTAATTAAAAAGTAAAAAATAAAAAACATTTTAATTTTAATAAAATAATAATAGATTTTTCTAACAAACTTTCATCTCAGCGATTTCAATAAAATTCAGCTTTTTCAACAAAATTTCTTTGGATTTTCTAAAATATCAGGAGAGATTTTATAACAATACAAGATTTTCCTCATACGACAATAATTGGAAGAGACTACACTACACTCTCCTGTTCTATGCTGGCGTCTCTCGTAGATCCCACACCTTATGAATGTGAATTAAAACGCGTGGTGAATGTTTATATATGCATATCTGGATTTTCGTTGTAATAAACAATAATATATGATGATAAATTACTTCACTATTTTCTGATTTTAATACGAATATATCTCACGATATATATATAGTATACAATGCCTAAAATCTTATTTAGTATTACATAAAAGTAAAGTATATAAACATTAGTAAACTTTTTTATTAATGAATAAACAAATTAAGATGTTTGTTAGCTTTTGTAAAATCATATTAAATTGTGTTTTAAAGCATTTTAAAATATTTTCCCAAATATTGATCAATGTGAACTGAAAAAAGTTTA